TTTAACTATGGCAAAGGCCAGTGGCGTAGCTGCCATTAGGCACTTAAGGAAAAAGAAAGAATATAACTGAAAAAGAAAGAATATAAATGACTAAATATCATTTTGGCCATTGATAAAGAGAACATGAATATATAAATATCCACCAATCTGTGCAAAGTAACAATAACCTACAATAGTTAAACGGCTGTTTTTACAGTAGGACTCATCGAATGTTTTTAAAAATTCTATATGCAAGTAATTAAATAGAGATATAAAACTCCCCTGACGCTCACAAGATATGTGTGGTATTAATTGTCATTTTAATCAATATTTATTCATTACTCATTATAAAGCATTGCTTTGTGTCTGATTATTTTTAAATACTTTATAAATAACTTTTTTCTTCATGTTCTCTAAATTTGATTACGCCGAAAAAATATGAAAACTCTTCTAACTTATGATTTCTGGTTAAAAAGTTGGACTGCTCCTTTTTATCTTTTCTACTTAATATGAAATTTCGTTTTAAAGAGACCCATAATTTTGTATTTTAAACGCCCAGAATTTGTCACTCAGGGGTCTCAAAGTTGTGAAATCTATTTTCCGTAGGGGGGAGGGGGTCGCCCCCCCCCCATCCCCTGAACCCCAGCAGGGCGCTGCCCTGGACTCGCCGGACACAGAGTAATTATTGCCTATACTTCATCAAGTTCTAGCTACGCCCCTGAAAACCGTGCTATGTATGAATGTGACTTGCAGGATTTCTTGTATAGTTTGTGCAATTTTTATTGTTTGTATTATTCAGGAATCGGAAAGAATCGCGGATGGGCGGACTTGGGTATACAATTAACTTTTACATGTACCACAATTAACTTAAATCTACTGGCATCAGAAATGTAAATATGTAGCCGTGGAACTATTTTTAGAATTGTATATAAAAGCTTGAATCTGATTGGCCAAAATTTTCATGTTTATTCCTATTTGAAAGTGACGCAACCTTTCATGGAATATTGCTTGAGAAAGCGGTTGCGGATTCGGAACATCTATATAATTTTAATAAGATAAGTGGTTTAATTTTCAATTACGAAGCAAACATGTAAAAATATGAAATTACTAGTGTGTTTTTCATTTTGGGTCTTCAGGAATGTTAAGTCTATTGGAGAACGTGTAAACAGAAATAAAAAGTCGTTTCTTGTAAACAGTAATATACTCCATGGTTTTCTATACAAATTACAGGTCTACTGGAATGATAAGCTAAGTCGATTGGATCAGGTGGTTTTCTTGTATCTTCGTTGTCTATACAAATAACCACAGATCTACAGGAATATAAGTCGATTGAATCTTGATATCTATACAAATTACCACAGGTCAACAGTGTGATCAGCAAAGTTGATTCAACCAAGTGGTCATTATTGTATCTTTGGCGTTTATATGTTTGGAGCGGAAGTGGGTATCCTTATAAAGCGAATTTCTCTGTGCTTTCTATATTTCTTCACTTAGGGCAGTTATGTTACTTTAAGAGTAACTGCTATTGTAAATTAAATGTGTTAAAAAATAAAAATAATTTCATTGCAATTTGTATCGGTAAAGATCTTCTAATAAAACTCATGTCCAAATATCTATAACTCATTTCCATTCTCAATGACCGTGTAGTGTAGGGTCGAATAATAACTCAATTGGATCACGTGGTTATTTTGTATCTTTCGTATCTACACAAATTACCACACGTCTACAGGGAATAACAAGCATTCTGAGAGTATTGCATTAGCAATACTAGTCCCCTACCGGCAAGTGTAATCTGGTTCCCGTTAAAAATTGAAAATGCCATAATTCCGTCAAAAATCAATGAAGCGGGACGAAATGCAAACTTGATCTATAACTAATCAAGGTAAAGTCACATACCAAAAATCAGCTCAATATCTGAAAGCGTTTAGAAGAAAATTGCGGAAAACCCTTAGAAATTGAAAAGGCCGTAATTCCGTCAAAAATCAATGAAGCGGAACGAAATGCAAACTTGATCTGTAACTCATCAAGATGCACTTACATACCAAAAATCAGCTCAATATCAAGCGTATAGAAGAAAATCAGCTCAATATCAAGCGTTTAGAAGAAAATCAGCTCAATATCAAGCGTTTAGAAGAAAAGTGCGGAAAACCAAGTGGGACAGACTGACAGACAGACAGAGGGACAGACAGACGGACGGACAGACTCAGAGGAAACCTATAGTCCCCTCCGGTTTCACCGGTAGGGGACTAATAAGTCGATTGGATCACGTGGATATTTTCTATCTTTCGTGTCTACACAAATTACCACACGTCTACAGGAATAATTAGTCGATTGGATCACGAAGTTATTTTGTATCTTTCGTATCTATACAAATTACCACAGGTCTACACCACTGAAAAGTTGATTGAAGTTTTGTTTATTATGTATCATGATATATTAAATTCAAATATATTCTTTTTTTCTAAAAATAGTTCAGAGAAATGTAAAAAGTAAAAAGTAAAAAAAATGAAATCAAGATCAGTACGAAACTTACGTGACGACCTATGTACACCTTAGGCGTGATTGATCCGATCAATTACTCCCCTAGGTCAAACCATGGAAAGCTAGAATTTAAACTGACAATCCCATTTTAAATTCTTAGATGGTAAAAACTTTTAACAAAAACCTTAATAACCTTTTGAAAATTATAGTTGCTATTAGAGATTGTTCTATCTGACGTATCCGTATAAGTATCCGTATCCGTATACGTATCGAGGTGAGAGAGGCATCTCGATCCCGATGTCTAAACTATTTACTATTATAATTTCCATCGTTATTTGTTTGGTTTTAAAGCAGCCCCATTCATTTAAGAATAGCATATGGTATTTTTTCAAATAAAAAATGTATTAAGCTGCTATAAAAGTTTGTTATTTTGCTGGAAAATTAAAAAAAAAAAATAGATAATGAAATTCAATAAATTTCTATTTGTTTTCATTATATTGTTTAAAACTTTAATTGCAATTTTGTTTAAAAACATTTGTCGGGATCCCCTCTCTCTCTCTTAACATCAGGACATTTTATTGATTGATTCTGTAATTTACATTAGATGACATAAAAGTTAATCCCCTCACTCACACACTAAATGCAAAAGACGTTGATATCCATACAATCAATAAAACCGTGTAGCAGTTTTCTAAAGAGAATTTGCTTCCAGACCCTTACCAGTATATGCTTAAAAATGCCAGCCCCCCCCCCCCCCCCCCGGGAACACACAAAAACTTTCATAGCGTCTGTTGACTTTCTTCATTCTTTTTTTTTTCAATGAGCTATTTGACAATATCTGTATGTCTCCCCTTCCCCTCCCCAGTGAAATTGCTACTTTCGGGCCTATTCTCATACGGCTTGATTTTGTTTTATATTTTGTCCTTTCAGCAATGATAACTTGAAAAGACTTCATGGCGACAAAAATAGGTAATGAAATGAAAATTCAATTGTTAAATTTGATTTTTCTTTTTAGTTCTCTTGTTGTCGTACATGTGTATTATAATTCATGGTTTGATATAGAACTGTTTCAAAATAGGGTATTCATTATCTTAACTCTCTTTTTATAAGAAAGAAAAGAACATTAGACTAAAAAATGCCAAACAATAGATTTATCTATTTTTTTCTATGCTACCTTTTCAATCCAGCTGATTTTTATTTATTCAAATTTTTATTTTTATTTATTTATTTATGCATTTTGGCCCAGACTGGGGCAAGTGTGATTAAATTCAACACGCAGTTCATAGAATTGAATAGAAGAGGCTGCTTCAACGTAGCAGAGAAATAAAAAAAAACACAGAATAACGGATAAAATTTATACAAAACATTTAATTGATAAAATATCAGCATTTTTTCAGAGTTTTGATCCCGCTTGTACACAAAGAATTACAGTCATCTTAATTTCAATAAATAAATCATTTAAGTAAACTTTAGTCAACATGTATATAAAGTAATGTATAAACATAAAAAATTTTCTCCGTTTATCTCCTTTTATCGATAATTGTTAATTCATCCCCGACAAAAACTGCGTGTAATTGCATCACTTTCGGAAATCGTAGTCCTTTCTCAAGCTCTCTGGAATTTCGGATACGGCTATCACCTAACAATTTTGGGAATTTAGAGTCTTCAAACCACCCCAGAATTGCCAGTTTTCCAAAGCTTTTCTGGAGAACTATGTCCATCAAATATAATAAAATGATATACAGAATGTTGATAATGATAAAAAAGAAAATGAGGATGGAAATTTTCAGTGACCTCCCCTTCTTCCCCCCCCCCCCCCCCCACACACACACACAGTATGCAGTATGGTCACCTTTTTATTGTCAAAGTTTTGATAAGGTGACTTGTCATTTTTTATTTTCTCCCTGCCTCGGCCCAGCTTCCCCCTTCTCCACTTTGTTAATCAATTTCAAGTGTCTGCTTGATGTAGACAAACTTATACTCATCCAGAATGTTTGATCTCTGACACCTCGTACAGTTAAACTTTGTTAACTCAAACCCTTGGATATATCGAAGTTTTAATTGGTCCAATCAAGTTTGAGATAACGAGCGTTGACTGTATGCATTATGGGGAATATGTCTTGTTCTGGTAAAGGTTACTTCTAGAATGAAACAATAATATATCCTGATATTGTGTGTGTGTTTGTGTGTGTGTGAGAGAGAGAGAGAGAGAGAAGTCCCTTTTTGATTTTTAAAATTTTTTTTTTAACAATTTAATAAAAATATACGTATTTTTTTTTTACTAATTTTATTTTTTTAAAATCCTTCCATAAAATGATAGGTGTGAACAGCAACTTGATACGTTTCATTAGAAATATTACTATATATCTTATTTTCCAATGAATGGGGTTAAGATCAAACAAGAAACGATGGAAATGTTACTCAACGGTTAAATCATCGGGATCGAGATGCCTCTCATACTTCGATACGGATACGGATACGTATGCGGATACGTCAGATAGAACAATCTCTATTATTAACAAACTTAAGCTTGTATGACGTTACTCGGCATATGCAGTGGTTGTTGCTTTTTCAGTCTCGAGCGACAGTGTCGAATCGCTTTCAGACAAGTTTTCCCCCTTTGTTTTCCAAAGCTTAAATATCTGAGAGGAGCAGCAAATTGCAAGGAAGATGGTGCATCCCTGGGTCGATATAATTAAATCCACAACGAAAGAATAAGTCGAAGTGCTTATAAACCATTGTGATATTTGAAGAAAGGCGATAACACTGACGATGATTGCTACTTTAAACAGTAAGAAAAACTCGGTTCTCTTTCTTTTTAAATTTAATTTCTCTTTTGAAGAAATTATTAATTTAAATGTTGCAAAGTGGAGAAAAATTGTCAGAAGGGTAGAAATCGCCAAAGGAGAAAGATATGTAATAATGTTCGAGATTTCATGAGTCAGGAAACATCTATCAGAGCCATATTGAAAATCAGTCAAAAAAACGTACAATAATATACCATTGGTAGCAACAACAACTAAAGGTAGCAAAAAGCTAAAAATAATGTGGAAAAGTACTGGCGAATGTTCTTTCGAACTTGAAGATAAGTCATCTTTTGGTTTATAATTTTTAAAAAGTAAACATTGGTGAAATGCTGCTACAGTAAGTGAACAACAAACGGACAACCAAAGGTAGTGAAGAATAAGACCGATAACCGTGCATGCTACATTGATGTGCTCTAGGAGTTTTTCAAGGGTACCCACGATATGAAGCAAACACAAGGATAAAGACACAAACATGGCATTGATACCAGAAGGGGTTCGTAAATTCTTAAAAATGCAATAACTCAGGAAAATAGAAGCCATGCTGACAGCACTAACTCCATGGAACACCGTAGATAAGTAATGTATATCTACAAAAGCTGTAACTAGTTTATCACTTGCAATACTATTGAATCGCGACCCATAGTCACATACCCCTATAAAACCTGCAAAATCCATGGCAAAATCACCCATTTCGAAACTGAGCAAGGATTCATTTGATGTTATTCGCATGTTTTCATTATCAAAGATAAATAAACTTGCATTGAATTTTCGATGAACACAGAAAAGTAAGTTTCCTACAAAGAGAACTGATAAAGGGGGTCCCGAAAATAAAGATTGCATTCGATTTTTAAATTTGTTATAAGAAATTGTATCCGACATACCATAATCAAGGGTATGTTTTGGAAGCGAGAATCCCAAGCCTTTGATATAATACTCTACATTATCGTTTTCAATGGAATTCTGTTGATCAATCTCGTGCGGAAGTTTTAGAAGCATTTTTTCTATCAAATCTCTTTCATAATTTGCATAAGGTATCTCAAAATAAATATCCATAAGGAATTGCTCATTTTGTACGGGGCTCTCGGTTACTAAATTCAGGTTATTGTAGGGCACAACAGAAAAATATGTCATTAATCCAGGGTTACCAGGTAATAGTTTTACGATATCTTTTTTCAGTGCTTCTTCTATCTTTTGCAATACAATGGTTGCATTTGCAATGGTAGAGTTGATCATAATTTTAGTAGAAATATCAACTGCATATAATCCAATTCCATCCATAATTATCAATTCGCAGATATCTGCAACTAAAACTCGTCCAGGAAAGCAACCATATCTTTCAGACTGAAAAAAAAAAACAATTTTTCAACAAATCATTGGAAATCGTTCTTGCAAATACGGATATTAGAATATTAGGTATATGGCATCGATTGTGATGAGAACCAAATGGAAAATAATCAGGACCGATATTCTAAAGATTAAAATACGAAGTAATAATTTCTTATAATGATTTTTCTTGTTTGGAAAATTGTCTTTGCTAATTATTTGCTAATTACAACCTTCTTATATATAACTTTGAGATGGGTATTTTGGATCACGTGACGTGTGAGGTCCTGTGATCACCCAAATCTTTGACGTAGAAAAGTTAACCACTAGTCTCTATGACCAAGTCACGTCTTTGATGTAAAAACGAAAAATATAGTCATTTACATGTGTGATGTAAATAAGGGGCGATTTAAAAAAACCTTTCATTTGTGACGTTTTAAATTTAGCAACTTACCTCTATAATCTAAAAAAAAAAGTTCAGGAATCATTTGTTTGAATTAAATTTTTAGCCACTTTCGTCTGTGAACTAAAACATTAAGCTACCTACCTCTGTAACATAATGCGGAGAGGTGTAGAAGACGACAGACGGCAGTAATTTAGGTAATACAAAGGGTTTACGTATCCTCAATGCATTTCCAGTCTGACCTGAACAATCCGCTGGGTCAATAACGAACGATGAATTTGGAAAACACTTATTTTCAAAGCAAAATTCATTGTTGCAAGCAAAGCAAAATGAATTCTTGTAAGGATACACTTCAGATACTGCATGCACGTCTGGAAGTAAATCACACCCTTCGCTATATGCAGGATGAAAATTAAAACTTCCTGGGTCACATTTGTCCTTCAATGTCTGGACAGATTCAATAACATTGCAGAGCAAGCAAAATTCGTTTTTGAATCCAGATACAGAAGGAAACGCTTGGTCACTGATGTTTTCACAAGCCCACCGTACATTTAAGTCAATATCATTTACAACCTTTCCAGAGCTGTTGCATATATTTACGATTTCAATTTTTTCTTCCGATTGAGAATAATCATGATAGTAGCTGTAATAAGAACTCGCCCAGAATCCTCCATAAGAATAGTCTTCCTCTTCTTTCCTGCATTTAGTCGTCTTATCCGTATCATAAAAAACAGAGCATCCATTATCTTTTGCTGAATTGATTACAGCATTAATAGAACCAGTGTATAGAAAATGAAAAAAACTTGGACAGACAATGTTCAAATCAAGTGGTGTGAAGTTATTGTGAAGTATTTTTTGCCCAAGCCGAAATACATTGCTATTACAGAAAAAGCAAAAAACATTTTTGTAAGTTGCCGACCCATAATGTACAAAATAGGATGAGAAGTCCCCGGTATCATCCTCACATAACTTCCGATACTGATGAAAATACATATAACCCTCGTTTCTTGAACAACCATCAATCACAATTATTTCTACTTCTTCACTATTTGAGCTTGACTCGACATGTAACGTGTTTGATAAACACGTTGCAGAGCTTTGCAGAGCAGCATCAATGCAACAGGAACATACATTTCTAAAAATACAATCAATATCACAATCGCAGTTTGTAAGAGTGAATTGTCTGATGGACTCGGGTAGAAGACTAAGATCACATACACGATCTGGATGCATGGCAACTTTCCTCTGAACTAGACTCTTTATATCAATCAGATTTCCTTTCCATCTGTACATACCATTATCAAGAAGTCGGATGTCAGTGTTTTCAATCTTTGTGTTGAGAATGTTTAGGTTCATTTTTTCATTTCTAAAGACAACATTCTTAATTTTTATCTCATGTTTTTCTTTTTTACTCCAATCGACACTATGTTTCTCCTCATACTCAAAGTAAATGTCGTAAAAATGGATAACATCCCTTCCTTCTGGCGGAGGAGAAAAGCTTTCTAGCGGGTTTGAGATCGTATTGCAGAAAAAACAGTATGCATTCTTGTAGGGGTAAGTCATGGCTGATGTTCCTTTGTTGGCACAGGCATCTTTTAAAGTAAGGTCTTTGGCATCCCAATGACCTGTGACGTTACAAATTTTAATAACACTGTCGGAGTTCTTAATTTTCGGTATGTTGCACAGGTAGCAAAAAATGTTTTGATGAAAACGGAAAGGTAAGAAATACGATGATTCACAGGCCTTTTTAATGTTAGGATCAGCATCTGTTGGACAAGTCGGAGGTAACAGGTACATGGAAGGCAATTGTTTCACTATGTTTTTTGCTTGGTGTGATGGTGAAAACAAAAAGGGTATTTGTAACATTTCTCCAAGCTTAATTAGTTCTTCAAATGGGCTAATGAGATATGCAATGTTTGGAAGATCTCCTTTCCCAAAGCCTAAATCCCAGAAAACAAGGTCATCTAATGCCTCCCCATGACAGGATGCGCAGTATCTGTTGGAGTATGATAAATTTGTTGCTAATGACGTCACAGGAGGAGTTTTAGTCCACTGATATCCCGTCAACGAAGTTTGACATTCTGCCTTAGCGGACGGATTTGCACCATCTGGACAGCTCACAATAACTTCATACTTCTGATAACTTTCTCTGTCTGCAGAACCGAGCAAAAAATTTGTGAAGACCTGGAATTTTGACTTGAAAAATTTATCTGGGCAGCATGTATTAGTACTAAAACAGTCGTCCTCGCATGAACATTTGGGACAGCGGTTCAACGCCTGATGATAATAGGGATAAGATGATGCCTCCAGTTCTGAGCAGAGAAACATGTGTCCACAGGCATTTGAATACTCTCTCACCAGATCGTCGACATTAAGGACACCGGAGTTACAGTAGCAAGAAGTAATAAATAGGAATGTTAACTCTATCATTTCAACATAAACTTTCCACATCTTGCAGAGAGTAGGGACTGTGCTGTCTATGCTACAAAAACACACATTCCCTACAGAGATAAAAATAGCACAAAGTAAGGATGATCAGAAGTTGTTAATTTGCTTTCACATATAGCTATCAATTTATATTTTAGATTTAAAACAACTCTCTCTCTCTTTTTCTCTGTCTATTTGGATGGATGGATGAATTTTAGCTGAAAAAAAATCCTGCATATGGATTTTATGTCTCCCAGTTGATTTGATGTGCAAGAACATACTCTACAAACGAAAACGAGGCAAGCTATGACAAATAAGTTGATAAAACAAGAATACCAACACTCTCATTTAAAGCTTAAGTAAAATTTCGCAAATTCTAAGGTCAATACAATGATCGACCTTGTCAGCAAATAAAATCTATCATTAAGTCGAATGAAGACTGACGATTTTTCTACAAATTGTTTTTTACATTGAATTGTCTTCGAATTTTTCCGACAAGGAGCACATGGCGGGGGCGACCGGTCGACAAAGGATGCTTACTCCTCCATGGCACCTGATCCCAACTCTGATGTTATTAGAGGTCCGTGTTTGCTCTGCTACAAATTTGTATGGTTTCGTTGGACTTTTAAACTTGATTACTGTTCGCTATCTTCATATTTCATTATAAATTATATAAATACTGCATGTACATATGTAGTTGAGTGTAACATTGAAAATTTTCGACCCAAGAAAACTATTGTCAAGCGAGGCGCAGCCGAGATTTACAATGGTTTTCCAGGGGTGAAAATCTTCAATGTTTCACTCAACTACATGCAATATTTATTATATTATACTGAATGTTTTATACAAATACATGTTACAGTGAAACTTGCACTAATGAATTCTGCGCAGTCAAGCAATGTTAACTGTTGCTACGCTGGAGAGTGTGGCTTCATTATTCAGCGGGTAATAGTGTCTTTTAACAAAAGTTTCTCAACGAATCAGATTCAACTTATTAACATGAAAGTATAATATTATATATTATTATACTTTAAATTATACTTAAAATAAGTGAAGTATTCTTTAGTTTATGACAAGACAACATACTGTACGAAGAATAGGACAAAAAAAAACACAATGAAAGGAATGTTAGTTAGTAAAATCAAGCAACCTCAATCAAGCTTCAGAACTAATTGCGAAGGCGAATTGACATGCAGTGGGCAATTTACTGAACTATTTTTAAATAACTATCAATATGCTTTTAAATTATTTTTGACATTTTATCAATGATTTCTCAGTGTGTATTTCTTATTGTCCAGATAACCATTAGTTACTATTATCCATATTATAGCTGTTGATCGCACATTATTATTATCACTGCACGATGAGGTTACTTGTATCTTCTTAAAATATATTAACCGACGGATTTTAGTCGCAGTAGCCTCGTGATGGAGCGCTCGCTTCGTGATCGGAAGGTACGGGTCCGGTTCTTGTTCCCGGCTCCGCAGTAAACCAGTGACTGCTACCTGTACTTTGCCAAGCATTAGAAGTGAATGTTACGGATCTTTCGGATAAGACCTCAAAAACTGAGGTCCCGGGTTATGGTAGGCGTTGGCACGATAAAAAAAAAAACCCTCACTGCTCAATGCAGGGATGAAGTATGGTTTTTGAAAGGGGGAGCAGCCAGAGAAAAAAATTCAACTTACTTGAGAAAAACTTGACAAGCAAAAAAAAAAATTAATAATAATAATAAATAAAATTAAAAAAAAAAAATAAAAAAGGAAAAATGTCCAAGCTCGAAATCCTATTTTCGGGGGGGGGGGGGAGGGGGGTGTAGATTCCAACTTTTTTCAGTATCAAATTTTAACAAAACAACAAAAAGGGGGGAGCGGCCTACAATGAACATTAAGTTATATTTGAAAAAAAGTGGGGGTGGGGTGGGGTGGGGTGTGCCGGCCCTTCCCCCCTACCCAATACTACGTGGCTGCAATGGCCCTAAGTGTCTAGTAAAGGTCTAAATTTGAAGCCTTTCACCGGTGTAGGGAGACGTCACATATGAGTGAAAAATTCAGCAGCTCAATCAATTAATCAAATAGCAACCTTTTTTACTTGAGTACACGTGAATAACGCTTTACAACATTTACAGTGGATCCTTACGTCGCGGCTACGAATCCCACTGCGGGACGCGGAGACCGGTCCTTCGGATGAGACCGTATAAGCCGAGGTCCCGTGTCGCAGTAGGTGCTGGCAAGAAAAAGATCCCTCACTGCTCAATGGTCCAGAGTGCCGAGTATAGGTCTAAATTTGCAGACCTCCTCCGGCAAGTGGTGAGAGAAAAATTCTCGAGAGGGACGTCAAACAACAAACAAACAAACATTTACAATATGTTGGAAGTTTTCACTATCAGAGTTTTCTGGATGTACTTGTATTAGGGTGTTTTGTGTCGTGCAGTATTCACACAAGTACTATGGCTGGAACGACTTATCTAACAAGGTTGGATTCTGATATTTAGTCTTAAGAATTTTTTGTCAAGTATATTATTAGTATCTATACACTAGCTTAATTAAAAATCAAAACAAACAAGCTAATTCAGAGAATTTGTGTCCCCTGCTTAGGGAAAAAAGAAGAGCATACGCAGTTCGGGGGGGGGGGGGAATCCACCCCCCCTGGAGATTTGTAGAATTATTAAATGTATACATGTATATAGAATAGGGATGTCAACGAACAGTCGACTATTCGACTATCAGTCGAATGGACCGACGATCGAATAATGAAACGACATTCGAATAAATAAATAAATAAATGTTATACATATACGTATTATACGTCTATGTGCAATAGAAGTGTGAAAACGAGATGGAATTCTCATCTCAAAATTGAGAAACCGTTTTTCCTCAGACACAGTCAATAAGATAAATAAATTTTCCTCACAAAAACCGTTGAGTTTCCATGTACCTGTAGAAAGTATAGTAATTATATAAATGCTTCACTACGGCGAGAATTATTCGTCAATTACCGGGACTAATCTGTGTTCTTTTTGTTGATAAATTATGGATCACTTTTCTGGACTTTGTTTGTAAATTTATTAATTGGGCATAATTAATTTCATACCATTTACCAATTATATTTTGTTATTTTAAGAATGTTGAAATGCAGGGAACACACCGTATATAACCGTAACATCTTTTGACACTTCGATAATTACTAAAACAATTCGCTTACATTGTAAGGACATTTTGATAGCCGGGGCAATAAACAATTGTACTAGTATTTAACTGTTTAACAAGGCACTTGATGAGTGGATAGTGTGTGTTAACCCCCTCATCCCCCCCCCCCCATTTATATTTATAAGCTTTAAAAAATATCGCGCTGTTATCCTAAAAACTGATTAATGAATGTAATTGACGGGGAAATCATGCATTTTGGATAAAATAACGATCTTTATTTTATTTCACACGCTATCCACACGTTAGGTGCCTATGCAATGTAGGCATTTGATGATACATTTTGGCTAAATATTTTTAAAAAGGTTTTTTAAGTTATAATTAAATACGACATGTACCAGTGAAGTTTGAAATAAAATTCTATTTTCAGAAAATGTTCCGAATATTCGACTATCGTTCGAATAATGCTATCGAATAGTCGACTAAGGAAAATAAATATTTTGACATCCCTAATATAGAAGCAAATAAAAAATGCCAATATGGATATAAAGATTTGATTGCTTATTCTTTAAAATGTGTATAGAAGATTCTTTTTATATAGAATATTTATCACACTTTATTTAAACCCACTGAATATTATTTCCTTTATTTCTTGTAAAAAAA